CCCTGTGATATCGGAAACACTTACACAGGGACTAGACACCTAGACATCACTGATAAAAACCTGTAAAGTCTTTGCCTTATCGACAGGCCGAATGGCTAGAACTCAGATGGCCACTGGATCGGAAAAGTAAAGTATCCGATTGCTCGACGCGCGACCTTGAAAAAAACAAACGCGTTTATTGTTCAAGGTCACTATCAAACTCGGTCAAATTCGGTTGAATTGTGCCACGAAGGTAACTTTTGGTCCCCGTGGCTAGATTAAACGACACTGTTGTGCTTTTTCTGTCTCTCCAAGGAAGAAAATATGCCTGGCCCCGATTCAAATTCGACTGAATTTGATTTGCTCCAGTGTAGGAAAGATCATTCTACACCTAGCCTTCTCGGACAAGGGCGAAAAATCTCAGATGCCCAGTGTGGAAGTTGTGCACGTGAAAGATCCCTTGGTGGTCTAAAAATCGATAAGAGTAGGCTTCGGCCATCACCCAGGCAAAATTAAAAATTTCCTACGAACGTGTAATGTTTAAAGTGTCCCGCGCGTCTTGTATTATGACCTTATTCAGTTGCGAGCGCCGTGAAACACTTACCAAAAAAAAAGAAAAAAGCTCCAGGGTGCACCGGGCATAACCAGCAGAGGGGAGGCGATTCTGCTGTGAGTGGCCGGAGACAGAACAGACACAGAGGCGGCGAAGCCGAGGGAAGAGCCAGATCTATTGATTTTTCTCTCCAGATCGATACGTTTTGTTGTGGCAGCCGCTGCTTCTGATGTGGTTGTTGTTGCAGTAGTCTGTGTTTACCAAAGACGGCAGGAGTTCTGTGATGTGTGCTGTTTGTGGAGGGAGATATCGTTCTATGTGTGCTGTTTTCTGAGTGAGATATCGTTTTGTGTGTGCTGTTTGAAGAGTGAGATATCGTTCTGTGTGTGTTGTTTTCTGAGTGAGATATCGTTTTGTGTGTGCTGTTTGAAGAGTGAGATATCGTTTTGTGTGTGCTGTTTGAAGAGTGAGATATCGT